AAAAATAATGTTCAAGCTCCGCACACACGCGTACATACTTTTAAAGGTGTGGAAGGAGGGAGGTAAGTTTTCATGTATTTATTATATTCATAATAAAAAAAAGAAGAGTTAAACGATGTTATGCAACTATGGGTCGAAAGAAGAGGAAAAGAGGGAGAAAACTGTTTTCTCGATAATCGATGGTTATTGCGTGTATACTTGTAGTACGTATAAAATATATAGCAATGAGGGAAGTGATTCTCGCGTACCTCCAAATAGATGAGGTTTGCTCAGAGACAAAGTATTTTTCGCTTCCTCTTGCAGCCGCTTGCGATGACAAAATTAGCGTTGTCTCTTATAGCGTGAAATACACCGATGAATAGGTTAATCGAGTTTTCCTTTGTACTCCATCGCTCTTCCTTTTCTGTATACCGTAAATAACTGATGCCGTACAGCAAGGCACAATTTGTTCGATTACCTGATTTTATGAGTACAAAATTGGATTGCGCACAGGCACGTCTTGTGCACGAATACTATTGAAACCGTAAGTATAATAGGTTTTTTTATAGAATAGCTTGTATTTATGGTTTCAGGCATTAAAGGGGAGATGCACTCTTTTGGTTTAACTATAAATACATACGTATGTCGGAAGAAATGAGAGACTACATTTATAACCAGAATAATACAGTTTAGCAAACAAAACACGAAGACAAAAATATACTAGATCAGAAATTGAAGTATTATATTGTAGTCATGGTGTTGTAATGTTCAATAAATTATTTCAAGTGATGATATTAAATTTCATGGAATTATGAGGATAATTTGTTTTATCATATGTTGACTGTGTAGTTACACAATTTTCGGTTATATAGTATTAACAATACAGCAAAATACAAGTATTGAAAGATAAAAGTGTTTGGTGTAAAATAAAGCTTTGTTTAATAAGATGGATTTCACAAATTTTGTATATTTATTAATTTTTCTGCAATGTCACTTGAGTTAGGTACAATAGAACAACTTTTGCGTCATTGCAAAAATTGTCCACTAATTTTAGTCATACCAATTTTTAAAGATTGTATTTTAAATGTAAATGCAATCCAAATGATTTTTGACCATTAAGTAGATCATTACGACGATACTTTAGAATAAAACGTTTGATTTAAACATTTTTATTTCACCAAAATCTACAACTTTGTCGTCCAATACAATAAATAAAAAAATGTAGCAAAAAGATTTTTTTCTTTGAAAAGTTGTAGTAGTAAAAACAATAGAGATTTGACCTCTTCGGTAAATATGTCTAAACTAAAAATCTTTACCTTTTAGTATTAACTCAAAGCTATTCTCTTCAAACTCAAGCTCAATTGTATGTTAATTACCCTACTTCAATTACAGTCGAAGGCCTTAGTTAGAAATTATTTTACCTTAACAAGTCATATTTAAAAAGGGTTGATACTTCGTACTGTGCGAACAATACAAGACACTGCCCAAAAAAAACTTAATAAGAAAAATAACGATAATATAGTAATTGATGACGTTTAGGAGTAGATGGTTTTAATTTTCTTCACTGCAACGTAATTTGTATTGCTTAAAATTATTCCATACAAAGTTTCAGTTTTCCTTTTATGGTATTTGTTGTGTACACTCATTGAAAAACTAAGCTTCTGTATAGAGACGAGAAAACGCGCGCCAACGTTGATCCAACTGAGAAAAAGGCCGTTGGCTCAGAAAACTCCCAAGTCAAGTTACCAAAAATAAACATCCACACACGAACAATCAAATCCACTTGTCAACGCAGGCCATCATACGTATATAATACGGTGCATGGCTTTTATTTCCCCGATGTTCGAAAGCAGCCAAACGACAAAAGCCGCTGATGCGGCAAAATAACGAATAGACGCGCACTTGTTTTCTCTTTCGTACTGAGCGTCAAAAACAATAATTCGCAGCTTGGCTAATACGCCCGATTACGTGTATTTTCGTCCGTTAATACCGAGTTGCGCGACACGTACTTTTTTTTTGTCACCATCCAAAAGTTTAAAGCATAGGTATACGCTTGCGCGTATATATGTACCCAAGTTTTGAAAAACAAAAAGTGCGAGGAGGTAGTATTGCATCGTTACATATATATCATATTTTGCGACAGCGGGGCGCTCGCCAATGAGCTGCAGACGAAAGTCAAGGTTTTTGGGGTACTCATACAAGCGAGTCAATTGAATGTTTGTTTGTTGCAGGGTTAAAAAGCAAGTAGTTGAATTTATGTACAAAACTGCGCTATCGCGTGTCAGATGTAAATGTGACTGGGTACATTTATCACAAAACCAAGAAAGTGTATAATATGTGCTACGAAATAATGACAATTTTTAATAAGTGTATTACTATCTCGTTTGTTTTGTACTGCAGTTTTGTAAATAATTAAAATGTATCCTTACAGAGAAAAGTATTGTAATATATATGTGTGAAACAATTTGTAATATCTTCGTAACATTTACGAGTTTTTTATTTTTTACATTGTCCTGAAATGTCAGATAAAAAAGTTTTACGAAGAAAATACAACATTAGAGTGAAAAATGTATGTGTATACATAATAAGTTTGTTTTTTAAGTTACAACTTCAATATTCAATACATTTTAATAAAGAGTCTAAACTTTCCTCCATACAAAATTCGCGTGAACTTACATGCACGAAGGTAGAATTTTACTGGTTTTTTTCACTGTTTGGTTAATCGAAGTGGATTAAATTTAGCGACGAGTATTACCCAAAAACATTTGAATATTGCTTGAAAAAAATTTAACCTAGTATAGCCCTATTAGTATAGATTGTATTTTTTCTCCGGTAATCCTTCTTTTTTATTTTTACTGTTATTATTATTATTATTATCATTATTATTATTATTTTTATTAAAAAAAGGAACACAAATTTTTGACAAATAAGAATTATTATTTTCAAAAGAGCATCACACTAGGAAGACTGACTGTATGATATTAAAAATATACCGGAGGTGCATTGTATTAAAAAATGTATTTTTTAATAAATCAATGTTTTTGACTTATTTTAAGCAAACATGATTTAGTATGTGTTGTTTATAGTAAAATGCAGTTTTCACACGTTTGTAAAATATTACAAGAAATGGAATGCATACAAAAACAATACCAGTAAGCAAATTTTTATGCACAAAAAAAAATCCAAGAAGAAGAAAAGAATTATATTTTGCGTTTGGTTCAATTTTTTAGAAATATGTGTTTAATAAAATTTTTGCTTTATAAAATGGTAGCATCTTTATAGTACTGAAAAATTATTTTCCATTATGGTCTCTATTGTTTTTCTGTCAATACTGTGTACGCCAAACCATTTAATTTTACTTTACGATCTAAAGGATACAAAAAAGTATTAAAAAGTATTAAAGAGTAAAAAAAAAAAAGTAAAAAAATAAATTAGCTCTATTGCCACTTGGTTTTTTGTATTAATTTTTTTCGTGCCACAACACAGCACAGTCCAAGCACCAATTAAAGACACACTAATCTCCTTCTTTGGGAAAAAAAAGTTATCTCACGACTCAAAGACCATTTTTTCGCACTTACATGATAAACAAACATCAATCATACACTCATACAAAAGCATTGCTCCAAACCAGTGGCTCAAGCAACCCCGTCAAGAAAAGAGAGTATATTATACCTTCCATCATCGGCACCTCTAACGGTCGAAGGAGGAAGAAAAGAAAAAAAAAAAAAAAATGGTACCACGTAGGTAAGTGCCTATATCAGCAAGAGAGAGAAGTGCCGGCAATATTCGCCGGCTGTACATCATATTTATACACCGTTACATTTTGCCAGCGGGAGCTCGCTCTCGATCGTTAAACTGCTGGCTCGCTCTCCACCACTCATTCCCTTCCGACTCCCACGTTGGCCACATCACCTAATAGGTATACTTCACGTGGGCTGGGTTGCCCCTCGCGCGTATTACAGGTGGGGTACAGCGTTATTATACTCACACAATGTATATATTATATAGGTACCATTTGGTTTAATGCTCACCGGCTGAACGACTCCTTTCGCGGTGTTTATTATCCGTTAAATATTATGTTATACGGTTGGATGTTTGCGAATCTTACAGCAGAGATTTTCGTGCCTTTCATCAAACTAATGCGCAAAGCTGGGGCTGCTATGTTTTTCTTTTGTTGTAACGTATATGTAACGAGTAACGCTGCCAAGAGATTAACGAGTAATTGTGATTTACTTTATTCGATGTTCATTTTCTTTGTTTTATCGCAAAATTATTACGTATGTTTCTATTGGGAGTTTTTGTAATCAATTTTTTTTTAACCAAAAAATAAATACGAATAGTAAACAAAAATATCCAATTCTTTTATGTAGTCAGCCACCCAAGTGTTTTCATAGAAATGTGTCTTTTTTTCTTACAAACATTAACGTTTCCGGGCTCAAAAACTGCACTTATTACTGTTTAAGTATTTGTAATGATTGTGTGAGAGTTAAAACTAAAACCCTTCAAGATAATTTAATCGAGAAAATGTATGAAAATTTCATACTCAAAGTTGAATAAGAAGGAATTTTTATATGTGATTTTCCAAAGAAATCAATTCAGTACGAAGACGCGGTAACGAGATTATTTTATCATGTATTAGTTAATGTATGTTCATTGTTTTTAAACTTAAATTGATTTAAAAAATAAGCTACGGTTTGAAAAATCTTTAAAAGTTTAATGTTTAAACACTCCGCTCCATGAAAAATTTTCGAGAAATTTCAGCTAAAGTTGTTCCTAACGAAAAACACTTTTTTAGGTTGCCTCTCAATAAAACGTTTAAGTTCGTTATACGAAGATTTAAAAAATATGCCACTATAGGTATTATTAAAAGATAATACAAAAAAAAAAAATAAATAAAAAAAATCACGTAAACATACAAACACTACACATATTCCAATTTTTTAAAGAAAACTTTTTTATGCTAACGAAGCGACTAATTGTGCAATCGAGCAAAAAAAAAAAAACAGCCACAAGTCCCTCACCTGTTAGAAAATGATTTTTCCCCCGAGTCCTCAAGCGCTCGCATCCGCTCGTCCTTGTACGTAATAAATGTCCTCCGTCCTCATCTTCCTTTATTTCTCGACCATACACGCACACTTGGCGTTTCCCTCCTCCACCTCTTTTGGCGCGTGGGCGAATCTTTTTTCAGCAGCGAGAGGTGTTTGTAAGTGTGTACCTATACAGCGCAGAGGCGCGGGCCGGAACGAACGCTGGGATTTTTCACTTGGCTCGCCGGCAACGTAGGCTGGGCGTCTCTCTCTTGCCAGTCCGAGTACTTTATTACAAATATTACAATCACTCGGTTAGGTGTAAGTATTCCCTCTCCTGGATAAAAGGATATAGATTCGGTCATGGTATCTCGTCGACTGCGTTCGATACGCCAACACCCTCGAGTGTATACTACCGTCATGTATAGTGTGGGAAATGTTTTCTGGCTTCTTTTGCGAATAAAAAATGACTCTCTCTTTTTTTTTTTTGGAGTATCCAAATAGTCTTTATTGAATCGATCGTTGTCGGGTTTTACAAGGAATAAGCAGTTTTTTTTTGAAATTTATTTGTCACAACGTTAGAAAATGCCGTTCAACTACAATGACAATTGTACGTATGGTTAAGTTGATATGGAATAAAAATATAATTTTAGGTAAAAAATTTGCTACTCCTCGAGGACGTGTTGTACACGTAATTTGAGCGATAACGTCGAATTTTGTTCGTCACGTTATACATATCTAAAATCGTCTTAATAATTTAAAAATACTTCTACGATTAGATTACTGAAATATCAAGTACTCGAGTTATTGATACCAAAATTGATATGTTGCGTTTGTAATACATTTGGCATTGCATTTTTATGTTATTGCTCGAAACATGTATACAACTTTTTCAACGATAAACTGTGTATATATTATATATAACGATAACAATATAACATGGAAAATTTTAAAAAATTTTTTATATTTTAGAATTTTTTTGACTGACGTCATAACAACTTTTTTTTTCGTTTCCTTTTCTATGTATATAAGTAACACTATGTACTAACTTTAACAATTTTACGTTTACATAATATGCAGTAGTTTCATTTCAAAATCACGATTCTAAAATTTCAACGTTAAGTACTTGTAAAAAGCTGATAAAAATACACGGATAAAAGTGTATGTATATAATATATTATTGCAATAAACTCTCTCGCTATGTATATGTATACGATTTGCTGTTAAAAAGCACGTAATGTATATAAGGCTACTTGAAATTCACGAACGTACTTGAGTTCGATGATAATAATAATAATATTATATTATGCACGCATTAAATCCTCTACGGCGTTTCACTATCTGATATGTGCTGATTTTATTGTATATATATATGTAACAACGGTAACGAATAAATAAAAAATAATCAATCCAAAACCGTTGGAGACATTGTCAATACTGATAGTCAGTATAAAGTAACGTAACAAATGTCCAAACAGTAAAAAGAGAGCTTTATCGACACACTCGACGAGCTTTTAACCTAACTGTGCTACACAAGCATGACGAATCCAGCCGTCAAAGCTGCACCTCCCCCCCCCTCGCGGCTACGCACACCCGCAAACACGGTGTGCACGAGTGCATAGGTATACAGAGAAAAACAACGCAAATTCATGCTATGCAAAGAATTTTTACCTCCTCGTCGGCCACAGCCTCACATCGCGCACCGCGCCAAGGTCAGGCGCGAGCGTCACACAATATACAACGTAAATACACTTTGGAACGATTGACTTGCAAACCTTAACGCTTTTGCGGTGTAATAACCAATCGCCGAAAACGCCCAACAAATACTTGAAAAAAACAAAAAAAAAAAAAAAAAGCACCGCGCCACAAATAAATACACTTGGGGTCAAACGCGGCGGCGTACGATGCGCAAGGACCGAGTGGGCTTGCGGCGTAGTTGGCTGGCCAGCCGGGCCTTGCGCTCGAGCACGGGCCTGCGAATGGCCGCTACGACCAAGCAAAATATACGCACGAAGAGCCCGAATAAGCGAGCGAGCGGCCTCTTACCACCACCACCACGGCTACTGCTGCGGCACGACTGATGATGTTGCTGCACCGGAGCCCACCACCACGGCCGTCGTCACAGCGTTTTGTGCCGCCCAATCCTCGCCGCGGGGTCCTGGTGGCGCGGCTGCGCCGGTGCCCCCGCACCGGTCGGTCCCGCGCCCCTGCCCGCCTCCTCCTCCTCCTCTACCATAGCGCCGAGGGGGGAGCTTGCGAGAGGGGTGGGAAAGTATACCGACGGGAGCGCCACTCCGCGGGGGACGAGCTCCCAAGCTCGCGGTGTATTTCGGGCGATGGGTCGATCGATGCGGACCTCGTCACGGCCCACTTCTGCAAAACAACAATGTTAACCAAGTAGTGTACTATGCGGTGGCGAACATCAACAGCGTCTCGATTGTGTTCGGGGCTCGGGGCCATGCAACTTCGCACATCCTCGCGATTAATGTGTAAAAACAAAAACAAAAATAATAAAAAAAAAAAAAACCCTCCAAGCGCGTAAAAACGAAAAAAGCTTGATTGTCGTAGGAAATAAAAGTGAGAGAGCAACGGCGGAGAAAAACTCACGTGTCCGAGCGACGGCGACGGCACTACGGGAGGAAACGGGAGCACGTGTGCACCGGGAGAATCCTCCTGGCGAGCTCCGAGTGGCAGCAACCCCAAGCTGCTTGTAACGAAAAGCGCGTGAACGGCGCTTCCCCGAAATCGAACGGACCGTTATTATATATATATATACGCACTCGTTTTGCCCACCCTCGTTCCCGTGTGATGCTCCGTTCCTCGAAAAATACACCGAGTGGGAGTTGTGCACAAACACGCGCGCTTATATATCGATCGCTACATGTGGCAGATAGGAGAGAGGGAGGCTCGATCGAGCGCACATATTTGTATATATATATATATATATATGTGCACGTGTACGGAACCATCGCCCCAAATCAAGCCTCTGGGCTGTTTCAGCCCTGCTTTGTCAGGTACACGTATAGTACCTATACAGTCCACAGGATGAGGCTGCCTCCCCTTTTGTTTCTGCGAAATCTCTCGGGGTTATATAATATATACGCAGTGTTATACCTTCTATGTGTATAATATATTATAAGTATAGGTGCGAGGAAGGTGATCCATCACGTACGTTATTCGACATACGGATGAATTGATGAAACGTCGGTCTCTGAGCTTTTATGCATATACGTGTGTATATACACATGTTACACCAAGACGAGGAAAAGTACAGTTTTTCTTTTGTATACATATATTCACATATCAGTTCCAAGTTTATTTGGGGATCATACCAAAGGCCGGAAAAAAAAAAAGAAATAACGAGACATTGATAGAATGAAAGGGTGTCTTTTTCTATTCGCACCAATAAACTGTATACGTGTATACCAACGTGATATATTTTAGTCGCTGGAGTACAAAAGTATCAAGGGCGACGTGGGCGCGATGTACACATGATTAAACAAAAAAAAAAAAAAAAAAAAACAAAAAAAATTGTCGACGGGGTGCAAGTCCGAAGGTTGCCCACACACGTGTATCGCATACATATGCCTTGCGTGTACAGCGACGCAAGCTCCTGATGTACACAGAGGGATATATATATTTTTTTTTTCTTTTATCTGATTTATATATGTACTGTGCTTTCATTTTATTTTTGTACCAATAACATTATTACGCTCTACGAAGCTTTTTTTTTTGCTTCGCTGATCGAATCTTTTGTTTTCCTCCTACATATACAATACACCGAGTTCTCTTTTTTGTTGTAACATGGGAGACATCATCGTATCTTTTTTTCCAAATAATTAGTACAGAGGATGGCGTGATTCGAACGACGACGAGTATATAAAAGTACTGAAAATAAGCCAAAGTGTATGTATTAATTTAATTTAGAGAGGCTTCCAATGCAGAGAGAAATTTGAAAAAAAAAAAAAAAAAATTCTTTCACGGCGCAAACGAAGCCAATTTGCGATGAGAGCTCGTGTAGTTGGAACATATGTTTGAAAATTTCATCGAGGGTGTAATATACCTATTGAATGAACTAGCGAACGTGTACAGGTTTTAATAATCCAAGCTTGATGGGGTATCAATTTGTATATACACACGGCCACGCAATCAAGCCGAGAGCCAGAAGCGGCGTTTGAAGCCTTGATTGGGTGTGAATCGTCAAATTAGTCGGTTTAACGAGCATGTCTCTGCTCTCCACTTATTTTCGATAAACGATTCCATTTCTGTCGCACCCAATTACGCCGTGTGTACCAGTACGGTTCTCCTTTAGGGGTGAAAGCCAACTTTTATCTGCAACTGACGTAGAAATTTTATCTGATATTAAAATATACATATTTGAAAGAACACCTTACTAATTTAACATTAACCGCAACGTTTCTTTATTTTATTTATAGGTAAACAAAAAAAAAAGACGTTTTGTTTCATACTCCACTACAGATATCGAATATTTATATAATTAACGTTACGTAAGTTGTTTAAAGACTTTTTGTTTTTTCACTGTACCTACTAACTACCTTAGTAATTATGTACCCTCATCCTCCTAAATTTTCGGGTTGAATGTTTGTTGTTTGTTATACGTCTCTTGTTACTTTGTTCGACGCTGATCAGCACAGCTGTGATAAAAAAAAGTTGTTTTTTTTTTGTGACGCCACTCACATCACATTTATGTTAAAATATCTTAAGAAAATTGGGGAAAAAAAATTTTTTATCGAGCTTTAATTGTATTTAATTTCAATTCAATTAGTTTTTAACTTATACCCCGAAGAAACACATTAACAAACATTTATTTCTCAATGCACGTAAACACAAAATTTTGCAACGGATCTAGAATCAAAGTAGAGTAGTACTTTGTCAAAAATGTTGTGTGCAATCAGTCATTTCTCAGGATTCCTTTGACTGATTCAAATAAACCTTGGCCTATTTTTTTGTTTCTGGATATTTGCCTAAGTCATGATTAAAAAGGTAAAAATAAAAAAACTTTTTTCTTTCAATCAATAAATACACATTTTTATCAGTAAACTAAAAAAATCTGGTTTCTGTATAAATTATGAAAAAAACGGGAATCATAGTATTAAATTATGTATGACATCACAAACTGTTATAAAAATTTAATGTTTTTTAGTTTAACTGATTAAAGTGTAACAAAAATTTATTAAGAAATTTAACATGTATAAATGAAGAAGTAAAATTTAATTACAAAAATATTCCGTACACGTCATGTATTTTTGATGTTTTTATAATGAAAAAAAAAAAAAAAATAAAATAACATAAAAATCTGTGTAACACAAGATTTTGTTTTCAACATATACCTATTAACAGATAAGTATCGTCTATGTACATAATGTGTTCTTACGCCTTTGATTCTCAGGCACACAAATAAAAAAACAAATAAATAGAACAAAAAAAAACAAAACAAAGTCTTCATTTTATCAAAATTCTCCAATGAGCAGTACTTAAATGCACTACGACAGACTGCAAACAGAGTTCTGGAAGCTTTTGGTCGAAAATATTATACAACGCATTAATTACAAATTTCCGTAGACTTCTTCTTTCCAAGATTCTTCTGTACTGCCAACTGAATATAGGAGACCATTCGATGAATTCATGGTGCAATGCTTGAGATTTCAAAATCTTCAGAATTGATTCTTGTTTGGAGAGGGACAGGGACATAAACTTCATCACAATTTTTTCAGTGAGAAGATCCCGTACACGTACTTGCAGGGATTCATCAACTACTCTGTTCATTGTGTTGTTAATCACAAAACGTTTTTTACTCGAGTTTCTTTGCTCCATCAAATACTTCTTGTTCACAGGATGAAGATATAAGCCAGCGGATTGTATTTTAATTACGTGATTTTGCAGCATGTTAATCAAAATCTGGTCTACATAAGCTCTTTCTTCAAAGCAATACGTGTATGGAGTATTTCCCTGGTTGTCAGTGACATTTATGTCAGCTCCGGTCAACAATAATGCTTCAATTTTCAATGCTCTGTTATTTGCAGTCATCGCATGATGGAAAGGTGTTTTTCCTGTCAAAAGAAAGCAACACGTAAATACAACATTTAAAGAAATTTGTAATTACTTAATTGACCTATGGATATCTTCTCCTGTATTATGAATTTTATATTTTATGTATGTTAACGTTTACTTTTTGAATTTACAATATTATTTTTTCACTAACTACTTAATGCGTTAATGATTATTTTAATTATTTCAATTTTGTATACGTTTCATTTTATTTCATATTGTGCTCCAGCACCTACTCACTTATTTGTTACCTGTATGTACTAATGAACTTATGTATTTATTGGGGTCACTCCCGTTCTTTATAAAAAAAAAAAAAAAAAAAACTTTTTTCAATGACAAAAATATGCTCAAACAGTTCATAGACATTACATAAAGTTTAATGAGTCGAAGCAACCATTTTCACGTCTACAGGAAAGTTTATTTTTTCTACCTCGACGTTTTGTAACGTTTGCTTTACTTTCCGTAGGGAAAACCAGAGTCCACATCTACTTATGGCGCATCCGACCAGGGCAATCACATTGTATTGTCCAAGTAGACATGCTCCTTTAGTGCGAAAACCACTATTTTTTCGTGTTATTCAGACACAGAGATTGAAAAATACAAAAGAGTAAAAATGGACGCTAAAAAGAGTAATTCCTCGATATTACTCTTTTTAAAGTAGTAAAATCGCAAAATTACTCTTTATAAATGGTAGTTTTGAAGATTTCGATTTTCGAATATTACTCTTTTAAAAAGATACTCTGATCTGATAAAAAGTTTGAGTTGTCATTGGCAGCGTAAAGTCCAAAAGTCTCCATAAGATCAGGAGCTAAAGTGATATCAAAACGCCGGTTCTCCTCGAATGATTTTCAAATATCAATGAGCGTTATAACCAGTGATTAAAAAAAAGTTCATGTATCTAAGAACTCATGATTTAATCTCTAAACAACTTTCTGTGGTGACAACAAGATTACAATCAACTATTGGAACGTCCAAAAGTTTTGGTGCAGAAGATTGCGATTGAGAACAAACATGTTCAAACACTATTACAAAAGTAATTAACCAACGTAAAAATTCCTATGTCCCAGCATCACTGTAGTTTCACGGTAAAGTATACTGTGGTTCTTTTCTCCGTGTACTCAATTGCTTCTGATTGTTTTAATGTAGGTTGGTCACTGGCAGTTTCAGGCATAAGATAGAAGGAATAAGGTATCGAAAAGTAGAAAATTTTTCTAGAAAAGCGGTGAAATACTTATTTGTTAATTACGCTGTGAGGGCGTGATTTTTCAAAGCGCGCAAGGGACAATCCAAATTATTCAGCAAGCAGGAATTTTTGACTAAAGCTTTTTATAGCAACGTATTATTGTCTACCATAATAAGGACTTTTGGGCTAAGACAAAAACGTTTTTGAAAGCAAAATTTGGAAGGATACATGAAAACCCAAATTTTTTCTCTGGCTGTGATGGTGATTGCTCAGAGTTCATACTAAATCGATTTTTCACACTAGTTGCTCCGAAGCGTCGGTAATAAGTGATGCATGTTACTACAAAAAGCTGAGTATTAAAAATTCCTGTTTGCTTTTAGTACTGTGAGTTTAAACACAACTACTGTACTGTCATATGATAATAAAAAAAAAAAATGCTATTTTGCAACGTTTTTGCTCTCAAAAAATTTCACAAGTTTGGTGAGCTTGAATAAGGTAATACCGTAGTTTTCTGGAAATTTGGCTGGATAGACATTGTGAAGCATTTCAAAAAATAAATACAACCTTTCATATTTTATTTAAGTCTTTAGAAATTAAAAAATTTTGTAAAGTAAATATTAATTCACTTTGTTTAGTTTTAAAGGAAAACAAGGTAAATTTATACAAGCAATTAATAAAAGCGTGCTGGAAAAGTAATCAAGTGTTTGTTTGGAAACAACAAAAATGTGCTATGAACAAATGAAAAGTATTGGCTCACCGTTTCTATCCCGCTGATTAAGGTCCAATTTGCCAGCCTTCAATAGTATCTCAATATTGTTAACCAAGCCATCACGATTATTATTCATGTTATTTGGTAGATCAGCCATAAATATATGATGAAGGACAGAGCATCGTTTATTATCTAATGCAGATAACTTGGGTATGGCTCGAATTAACGATTCCAAAGAGGATCCGGTAAAATTTTGGAGTAATCGATCTACTAGATTCAGTTTGGTAAAAAAACTGATATTGTCTGCTGCCTGATGTCTCAACATTTCAAGGATATACTCTACAGAGCTGTTGCACGTGAATGCGTTTTTATTTTCTAGGAGTATATCGATGGCTGTCTGATTAAATATAGTTTTCCTTCCCATGTTCAATTCATGATTTCTAGTTGAAAAATAAAAATTGGCACATCAACAAAATAATTATACATCATTAGTAACCATCGAAATATTACATGCAACTCAGGATATTAAACGGAAGAAGTTTTAGGATGGTTTAAAGTGAATAAAATTCATAAAAATTATTGCAGCTTGCATATACCTGAAAAATATTTTGATAAAGTCTAATCTTGCCGAGACAGCCAAATGCACAGGTGTATAACCATCTCTATTCTCGATGTTAACATCTGCTCCATACTTTAAAAGCATCTCAACCACACTTTCACTGCCATATTCTACTGCAAAATGTAAGGGGGTGTAACCAGCGTTGAGGGTGGAAAAATAGTCGGTAGTTGCGTTAATATTCACGCCAAACTTCAAGAAACTTTCAACAATGTCTGGGTCTGTTCCCATGCAGCTTACATGAAAAGCGCTCAGTCCATTTTTTTCTATAATAAAACTTTTGTCACTCAGGGAAGACACTTTGCGCCGCTTTGGCGATGCTGGATTAAAAATAAATCAAAGATCAATTATTATGATACATTACAATTAATTTTATTGGATTTAATCTTATATATGTAAAAATTTCTTGTATACATTACCATGAGATTTTTCAGCGCCTGAAGTTTCATGTTTCATATTTTTTATAATGTGATCAAGTAAAATCTTGACAATGGAATCGTCCTCAGGGTACTCATTTTTCACCAAAATATTGAGCGGAGCCTCGCCTGGCCATATTGGTGAATTATTTTTAATTCGGCCATTGACATTTTGTCCACTTTTCAAGAGAGCTTTTACGAGAACATCGTCCTTTAAAGCACACGCGACATGCAAGTGCATTAATCCCGTCTCATCGGTCCACTTCTTTTTCTTTTCGAATTTCGACTTCAAAAGATTGACAACCGCCTCGGATCTTGACATTATCAAAGCTGTGTGGAATGGGTTCAGACCTTTTTCATTTTCTGCTTTAATCTTTGCACCGTTTTTTAACAGAAAGTCTATTACTTCCGCGGAGTTAGCTCTGGCTGCCAAATGTAACGGAGTGTCCCCCAAGCAAACGTAACTGGGAAGTTTTTTAATACAATTCATCAGATCACTGGTGATTGGCTCATTGATGTTAGGCGTCATTGAAAGCAAAGCCGCAACTGATTGCAAATTTCCACAGTAACAGGCCATGTGAAAGTGGGACAATTCACCTGGAGCCACTGGATTTGACTGCAGTAACTTTTCATTTGACCACAATAACGATTTGAATTGTGCAAAATGCTCACTTACAAACGCACGGTGAATCCATGTTAGACCTTCAGCATCTAGAAGATAAGGATCCGCATCCTTTTCGATCAAATATTTGATTAATTCGTTTGATCGAATGGCTACCGCAAAATGGAAAAATGTTGAGTCGGAAGGTATTATCACATCTAGTTTGGATTTATCAATCTTTTTACTGAATTGCCAATATGTGCCAGCTTGTAAGCGTAAATTGAGGTTGTCAGCACATTGATTGTCCAACAAATTACGTGTAATGTTAGGACGGTCAAGCAAAGCAGCTATATGAGCGTGAGATAGATTTTGATTGTTTACTGGATTGACAAGAAATGTGGAATGTGATCTCAGTACTTCGGTCACATGTGATATCTTTTTTAGGCGATAGACAACGTGGAGAGCCGTCATGTTTTTAGAATCTCGAATAGTCATGTCTGGCTCATGACTGAGTACTATTTCGATACGATTAGCGTCATACTGATGTTGGCACATAACAGCAATGTGCAGCAACGTGCACCCAGGCCAGAGTGGTGATGTATCAGGAATTGCGGTGTTAATTTTACGATTTCTTAAATAACTATACAATGAACTTTGAGTTCGAAATGCAGCAATGAAATCTATCAAGTGGTCTTTATCATTGAATTTTATGGATCTAAGTTCTTCCTGAGTATTTAAGATGTCAATCAAATCATCGAGAGTGCATTTTTTGAGGCATATATCAAATGGTGTAACGCCATTGGCATCTTCAGCAAGAAGATTCGCTCCATTTCTGGACAGTATCATCACTGCTTGAAGATTACAACGTGCAGCAAAGTGCAACGGTGTGGACCCTGGATACATTGCAGCGTCAAAATGAGTAGGAGCATTGAAATCAACATAATTAGTCAACATTTCTTTCAAATCTTCAGGTTTAAAACTTTGGATCCTTATACAGTAAATGTGCAACTTTGTCAGGTTGATACAATCCGGTAAGCTTGTACCATCCTTGCATGATTGCAATATGACGTCAATTATGTTTTCAATATTAAGTAACCTTTTATCTTTTATTGCTTGACTCGTTGGCTGTGAGATGTATTTGATTTGTTCTATTATCAATAAATGCAATGGACTCAGTCCAGAAGCATTTAAACTCGTAATATCTGCACCATATTTCAAAAGCATTTCAACCATTTTTTTATTTTCACTTTTGGTGGCCAGATGTAGGCACGTATACCCGGAAAAAATGCGGGAGTTAAAATTTATGGCTTCATTAACTGACATACCAGCATCCAAGAAGAATTTAACAACGTCTAAACTGTCTGCTAAACAAGCCATGTGTAGATGAGATATTCCATCATTGCAGCATGGATTTGCCACATTTTTAAACTTGGTATGCGCAGACAAAAGAGCTCTGAATAATGATTTGCTTGTACTATGAATGTCGTTTGCATCAGATACAAGTTCTGTTTCAAGAGCAAAGCGCAAAGGTGTAAAGCCTTTGGAGTTCTGGCAAATGAAATCTGCCTTTTTCTCTAAGAACACTTTTATTATAGAAGCACGAACTTTGACTTTCTTTTCAACAGCAAAGTGTAAGGCTGTGCAGCCTGACCATTTGTTGGTCTCATCGTGATGAGTTTTGCTATCAAATGATAATACGTAATTAATATCAAAATCAGTCTCAAGAAAAGCTTTAATACTGTCCACATAAAATGTATGAGTAGCCCAATTCAACTGGGCTAATTTCACGTAACTCTTGTCTGTATTTACTACCAAAGACATCACTTTAAATACATAAGAAACATCTAAAATCAGGAGAGTTACAGATTATATACTATTTCATAGAAAGACATACTGCGTACAAGCAAAAATTTACAAAACTTGCTTACTTAATTCACTGCTGCTATTGTTGTGTCTTTATTTCTTCTCATCTCATACTCAAAAAAGTTATTCAACAAGTGCAGACAGAGTCAATTTTTCCGTACTCTACCTATTTGTAAGGATGATAATCAAACATAAAGATCGCAAAACAAATTCAATTAAAGCTGGGGGTGATCAGACATGACCCGGTTTTGACGAAACGTTTGAAAAAAAAAAAAATGTACTTAAAAACTGAGATTTACTCTAAAACAGCATTTGACATTCACTAACTGTTTATTTCAATTTTTTCCATTTTCATTATGAATCGTTTAAAAAGTACGTAACGCAGTCATATATAATTTGACCATCATAAAAAACAGCAGTTTTTCAAAGGTAAATGTTAACATTATAATACGTTGTGTCTATTGGCACTAAATCCACGTAATTATAATAATCTGAGATGGTGATTGTAAAAAAATTAAGCGAAAGAAAAATTTTGTCTGCAATTGTAATTTAATTGAATTTTATCATTTTATTTTTCAAAACTACTTATGTATTTTATAACTGCGTATATCGGGGAAGGAGGGGGAGCATAACATAGTTAATTAATTAACCTTATTACTTACGAAATTTGTGGCTAATCTCCTAAACCGCCAATCTATTTGATAAACTATTTTTGCTAAAACGTCATGGCTGTGCAAATACTGCAAACTTTTATTATGTTTTATTCTTAAAACAAAAGAAGTGCTACAATATTTTTTAATTGCTACCGCAGTCACTAACTAACCTCAAATAAAATGAAGTTCTGAATCAAACTGTTCAAACATTGATGATGGACAAAATAACTATACAGCGATGGTTGTTGATTTCGAATGTACAAATTAATTATTAACTCCATGTATTTATTTGATGTGTCGTACTTACTCGTCGTCAAAATAAAATTATTATTATGATTATTATTATTGATTTTTAAAGTATGCAATGCATACCATGCATATTGCATATTTGCATAACATATATATACACACTTGCACTCACACCGAAACAGGCCAAAGTACCACAGTAGTCACAGTACATCTCTTACCGATAGTCAGGCTGTCCGAAAATCGATGGGAATCCTTTTTACGCGCTGATTTCAAATATTACATTTCACATTAGAATAGGGTATTTTTCACAAATCACAAGCTGGTTTTTCTTGCCACTGCCATCGATGCCTAACACTTTGATTTATATAGTTTTATAAGTTATTAATTTTTTTATACAAATTATTATAAATTATTAAATGCGTAAGATACGGTCAATGAAGAAAGATTTCAGCATGATATGTTGTAGAAATCAGTTTTATTTACAACTTAACAATATGTATCAATTTATTATTTATTTAGCTATAGAGATTGTCATCTTCATAATAAATCTCTCTTTTTGAAGTCACCCCCCCCCTCACTTATTTTGTATTAATTTAATATTGACTTCAGATAAAAGTTATTAGATACATCATTCATCATCGGATGGCGTATCTTCTTTACTTTCAATCTGTTCAGCTTCCATTTTTTTAATGACTTCTTTCGCAGGATTAAACACACCGTTTGTCTGAGCATTACAAATGTAGCACCTAGTGCTCTTTTTGTAATGTTTAAGAGCGCATTTTTCACAAAAGTAGTGTTTGCACCTAAAAAAGAAAATAACACCAGAAGATATGTGAAACTATAATTATTGTTAAGGGTATTGTGTTGTGCAAAAAATTTAAATTTTTCTTACTTTGTCACTATTGGATCTTGGAACGTATTTCTGCATATAAAACATTTAAATGGAAGTTGTTCTTCATCACTGTTAATCTCATACTTTGTGTCATCTTCATCACCACTGAGGTCTTGTGAATTAGTTGTTGCCTCGCGTTCCAATTGCCAACCTAATTTGTAGTCCGATCGATCGTGAAGAAACTTACAACTGTCTGAAGAAGAAATTTTTATTAGATCACCAAAATCTTTTTTGAAGCATATTTTTTTAAGATGTCCATAAGTGTTTTTACATATTATGCATACATACCTCCAAAACCGCAGAAACCGGTTTCTTTGTAATCTTTGCATATATCTGGTTGATAATCCCACCTCACAGTTGCTCTCAAATTAGTTGGAGCTCTTATGGGCCCTTTTCTAACCATACCACTAGACGCATTGCCAGCTGCGGTGTCTTTTTTTTTGTAATATTGAGCATAATTGTTTATGCCCCTGTAGATCTTGTCATCCGCCTTGCCCTCCAGTTCCTATAAAAATGAACATTACTAAAGATAGAACCAATGAAATTGATACTGACAGCTAGTGATCTTTGGAATAATGAAAAAAAACAGGAGTACCTCATTGATTTTCTGAGCTTTTTCAAATATTGCTTGTGCATCTTTGTCGAAATTTGTTTCTGTTTCTAATGTTGATGTGGCACCTTGATCACTTGGACCAGCTGGGATTGCAGCTCTTTTACTTCTGTATGATACCATAACATCTTCATCGCTACTATCATCGTCGCTCTCTTGTTTCTTTTGTCTTTTGTTACTTGACTGTTAAAAATAAAACTTTTGTATAATCCAATTTTCGTAATTCATCTTATAAGTGATAACAAGCATACTAACTCTTTGGACCATGGGATTTAAAAAGTCTTGCTTTTTCGCCTTCTGATAAATCATAGTTTCATCATCGCTATTTTCTAAAATAAAGTGTAGGAATTTAAAACAAATATTTTCAATCCAATAAGTCCAACAAAATGAAGAATTTAATAGTTAAAGATTAAAAATAAAAACGTCAACTTGCAGAAGAAACATAAACATAACCTGCACTTATGTCATTACATTAATTGGTGTGTGATACTGTACATACCATTATCAGACTTATTACGCTGTCTAGCTGTTTGTTTACGTGCCAAGCGTTTTTTAAATACAAACTTGCACGTGTCACCTCCTTCTTTAGCAACATCGTTATTTTTCTCGTCTCCCATTTCTGCAACTAACTTACTTTGACTTGTTTTGTAAACAAAGCTAAAGGCGTATTTTCATAGCAGTTTTTTTACATTTGGTCCATTGTTCCTTGCATGACACGGGCGCGTTCTAAAATTACTGTTCATTACCTATACTTGGATCGTTCGTTCCAAAATATTACTTCAGAAACAAATTTCCTGTACATTTTTGGAACGAATGATTAAACGACCGATAATTTTCGAACGCGCCCGACTTCATCCTAAACTAATTCCTCAAATTTCTTATTTTTTCCTAATTCTGTTTTTAATCCTTGAACTCACAAACTACTGTATGTTAAACTCAATTAGTACTTACATTCATACAATCATTTCAAGAGGATTAGTGAACTTTTTTTCGTGATGGTGAAACACAGCTCATTAAATGACAAATATTATGCGAGATATTATGCCCATAATCGTACAGCTACCTAATATAATTATTTGCAAGATCAAAACTTGAATGAATTCATAGGCAACCGAGTTTGTTTATCCATCGCAAGATTTTCAAGCTCACCCTGCATTTTTTTGAGTCACGTCTATGCTTATGCGATGCAGCCGATCACTTCTGGACTGGATCACTATTCCCCTCCCCCTTGGCTATGCTGCTACATATCTCACACGCACACACAGAGGGTTTTTAAAGCACCCGCAGCAGAAGTATATACCTAGTGTATTTACGGAAATTTACAAATGTGCTGCAGGAAGTGCCGATGCTGTCGTCACTGAAATTTCACGCGCGTACAGGACGCATGTCCTTCTTCTTGCGTCGTATTTGATTTCTTCCCTTTTCTCATTTCTGATTTTGACTTTGTAGGCATGAGTTTTTAGCTTTCCCTGTTTGGTTAATTACATGTCTGGCCAACTGCTTTTTGTTGTTGTTGTATTCGACATACAGGGGTTTTCCATACGAAGATACACGACAAAATACTCAGCCTGGTAAGTTTATACACTCAAACTCAAGTACAGTTTTTTTCCTGCTAACAAGTAATGTGTTTGTGAGGGGGCCGGTCTGACCGACGTCGTCGAAGCTGTTGGGGGTGGCTCTCTCTCTGATGTATACAGCCACATCATATTTATTACCTTCAGTATCAAGTATACATGTGTGTCTAGTCTACATACGTGTAGTGTTTCCCGTAAACGTCATATAAACTCATATACAGTTGCATTGCACACACTCGCTTCTTCTCTGCGGAAGAAATCGAACGTCAATGCGGGGAACTGGAGTGTGCCAAGATACTTATTTTTGGAGTCGATGATATGATAACGCTCGTGTTGTTGGTTACGTTGAGACTTACCTATTACTAATCACAAGTGTCCGAGGTGCTTTGGGTGCTGTATTGTCGTTTTGATTTTTGTTTGTTTTGCTTTTGCTTATCGTTGTACTATTGAAAAACCAAGTTAATCAATGATTCATACGTGTACTGTGTTCTTTTTGTGTAAGGCTGTTGTCAAGGCTTATGGACATTTATATTTTTAAGGGTAAACTGTTCGACTAATGGAATTGCTGCTGTTTTGCACACTGTTCGTTGGTCTTTCATCCGTTGTTTTGATCTACATTTTTTGGAAGATCGTTATTAGCTTATAAATATTGCTTTGGCCGTCATGTGCTTTTAGCATTGCTTGGATTTTTCTGTTTATTTCTTTTTTATTTTTCTTTAGTAGTTATGTTCTGGTGTACGTAGAAATCTTTGATCAAGCAATAACAAAAAGCTTCCCAACTAGCTGGTGTTGGTTGATTGCTTTGAATAATAAACATTTTGTTGCGAAACAGAAAGTAATACAAGAGCAAAATGAGTAAGAAAAGTATGGACATTTCATTCGAAGAGGACAGCAAGCCTATGCTGACAAGGAAGTACTTGAAAAAGAAAATCATGTGTCCAGAAACAAAGTTCAGGCATCACGTTCAGGAGCGTCTTCATGTACTTGATTTGGTCAAACGTACAGTCGATATGGGCGAAAGTAACTCTCTGCTGCTGATTGGTCCAAGAGGATGTGGAAAAACAACAGTAAGGATTTGATTCTATCGTTTCTTAGTTTGTCGAAATGAATGTTAATTGATTCGTTTTATTTTTAATCTCCTTAGCTCATCAACAGCGTACTGAGGGAGTTGTCTCGTTCCAAAAATTTTCAAGATAACGCTCTAATAATAAATTTAAATGGTCTGGTTCATACAGACGACAAATTAGCATTGAAAGATGCGACAAGGCAGATGCAGCTTGAAAATGTTGTTGGTGACAAAGTTTTTGGTACATTTGCTGAGAATTTGAGTTTTTTATTGGAATGTTTAAAATCAGGAGACAAAAAAAACTCACAACCGATAATATTTATTTTGGATGAGTTTGATTTGTTTTGTGGACATCACAAACAAACTCTGCTGTACAATCTTTTTGATGTAGCTCAATCTGCTCAAGTAAAAAAAAATTCTAATGTACTATTAGGTTGACTATAAAGAAATTTATTCAAAACAAAATTTTCTGTTTATTCTAGGCTCCTATCTGTGTAATTGGGATAACTTCTAGATTAGACGTGATAGAATTGTTAGAAAAAAGAGTCAAGTCTAGGTTTTCACACCGACAAATTTTTCTCCACTCTTATATTACATCAAACTCGGAGACTTCTGCCATCGAAGAGCGTCAGGAACTCTTTCAGCATTTACTCAGTTTGCCCAATGATGAAAACGTTAATGAAATAGAGGAAGCAAATCAAGTTTGCAACATAAGTCCAAAGTTTTGTGCTGCGTGGAACAGGGAAATCAAAGATCTAGCAGGAAATCCGAAAATCAAAAAGCTGTTGAAGCAAATGTATCGAGAAAATCCATCCGAGAGAGAATTTAGAAATTTTTTGGCAGTGGCTATTTCGTCTCTTTGCTCAAATCATCAGTCGTTGGATGTCAATGATTTTGTTAAAGCAAGTCAAATGTTTACACAAGACGAAAAACTACTGATTCTGGAAGGATTATCTACCTTGGAAATGTGCCTGGTATATAACGTGATGTTTATCAATGCAATCGATTATATTTTTTTAAACTGAAAACTCAACTAAGTTTATTTTCATTTTAATTTCACTTAGATAATAGCTATGAAGCATGAAACAGAAATTTATGATGGGGAACCATTTAATTTTGAAAAAATCTTGACCCATTATTCAAAGTTTGCAAATAATTCTCCGATTGAGGCTGTCCAAAGACCAGTGATCATGAAAGCATTCGAGCATATAAAGGTAAGCTTGCTTATAGTTATTTATTCATTAAAACTTTATGCTAAATTAACGGTTGTTCATTTTTTTTTTTTTTTTTTTTTTTTTTTTTTTTTTTTTTTTTTTTTTTTTTTTT